TCAGTCCATCACCCTCCCCAAGCAGTTTCCCTCAACTGCCAATCCCACTCCCCTTCCCTGACAGCTTCCCATTATTCCCAAACACTTTCTCATATTATTATGTGAAAGGTACCTGTAGAAACCTAGAAGAAAGTTATTTTATTATTAGCTTTTTTTTTTATCTCAGTGTAACGATTAGCAAGCATTCAGACATTCGCTTCAGGACAAACAGCAGCCTAACCCATCCCCCCTAGGCATATCTCCTTCAGATACAATATCAGGACAGGGAGAGAGGGGAGAGAGGGGGAACAGGAGGGTGGGAGGAGAGAAAGAGAGAAGGAGGGGGAGAAAGAGGGAGGGAGAGAGGAACGGTGGGGGGGAGAGAATGGGAGGGAGAGAAGCTGGGTGGCTCCGCCTCGCCCACTCCTCTTCGTGTTGGCACCGCCCGGCGGCCCAGGTCAGACGCAGGTCAGCTCTTTCGTGCTCCTCTGTGAATACCTCATTTCTGTAATAGTTTTTCCTTTAAAAACAGCTCTGCCTTCTTTGGCAGATGGTGACATTCCATTAGCATATGGAATATTTTTGAAAACACATCCGAAAGCATGTCTCTTACGGAGGAGACTGGGCACAGCACCCGGCTGTCTGAAAAGCGTGCTGGGAGCCACTCAGCGCTCCACAGAAGGCCCCGGCTGCCGCCTCGCCCGGCCGCCTGTCGTCCCTGAGGGTCAGCCTCATTCAGAGCTCGGTCTGTGGCTTCACGAGGGCCATCAGGGACACAGGGCAGTAGAGAGAGCCGGAACTCAGAGGATGAGAGCACAGCTCAGGGTGGTGATGGAGGCCTCAGACGCTGAGCGCCTGCTGTGTGCAGGTGCTGGGTGTAACACACGTCAGTCTTTCCTGCTGGGATCCATCTGCCACACGTGGCAGGGCCACCTCGTGAACTCCTGTCAGCTCCCATGACGCTGACAAGGGCAGCCGCTGGAGGGTGTGGCAAAGGACAGGAGACCCCAGGCCCCTGCCCTCAGGAGGCTCCGGCTCCCGTTCCAGGAGAAACAGACCAGGCACACACATGGGAACCAAGATGGATTCAGACGGTGACCAGGGATGGAGAGGGGACATGGGGCTGGAGCGGCCTGGGGACATCAGATCCAAGACCTCAGTGATGGCAGGAGCCGGCCACGCAGTGGTCTGGGACAGGCTGTTGCAGGCCACCAAGGCCCAGCACTCTCCAAATGCTGCCAGGGTGCTTACAATCAAGCTCAAACTCCCTGTTACAACCAGCAGTGACCTCACCCCTGCCTACCTCTCCTAGGCTTTCCTCCGTTTTTGTTTCTGCCTCAGGGCCTTTGCAAGAGCTGTTCCCTCTGCCTAGTATGCATTTCCCTTGGCTATCTTCCTCATCATTCAGGTCCGACTGGAATCCCCGTTCTGCAGGGGAGACGGCTCTGACCAGGTCCCCTGATCATCCCATGTTACTCTCTGTTGCATCCTATGCTGTTTACGCTACAGTGCTTTCCATTGCTTTATTTGTTTACTTGTATTTATTCAAGACATACTAATTGAAGGCCTGCTATGTGCCAGGTACTGAGCTAGGCAGAGACAAAACAGACAAATGCCCCTGCCTCTGTGAGGCCTACATGATGACACAGAAAGGCAGATGATTCCAACGTGACCCGGTTTCTGACTTTCCTTACCAGAAATGAAACTTTCCTGGGTACCAGGGCCTGGCTTGTCTCATCCAGAGCCATCGTGGGGTGTGGTCATCACAGAGCTCAAGGAACTGTAGTGCCGGGAAGAGTTGAGCCCACGTTTTATAATCGCATTGAGACATAGGCAGGAAGTGGCTTTCAAGGCCGCTCTGCCAGTTAAATGGCAGAGGAAGGATCCAAACCTCGTTTTGTCCGCCTGGAAGCCCAGGGATCCTGTGGGGGCCTTCCCCCTGCTTCCCTTTCCTCAGCCCAGTGTCTAGGTCCCCCGACCCCCCCACCTCCAAGCCAACTTGTCCCTGGGCTGT